AGAATACCCACCTTCAACAATTCGTCCCCTGGAATACTCTCTTGCCAGGAGTTTCTCCAAACAAGCCACGTGGTCAAGAAAAGTGGATACCAAGGGATTGACCATAAGCGTTCTGTGTCTGTTGAATTAAATTGATCCCCATGTAAAAACGTCCTTGGTCAAATTTGCGCTTAGATCTGTCCCTTTGAGTAATAAGTATTTACTCAATTTTCCACCCCGCAATACCCGCCTTCCATATTTACCCTTGAAACTTTTCCTCCGGCTGCGCTCTGCACGGACCGACTATAGAATCCTCGCTGATCTTAACACCCTCGATCCAGCCCCGCATTCAACCTATACCACAGAGATTGCGACATGCTTCTCTCATAGTGCTCTTATAGTTTCTCCTAATTTTCTCTTTTGGGTTACATTTTCGTTATATCTACCTGGATACTACATCAACAACCGTTGTGAAATAATTATCCACGCCGAACTTGACTATCACACCTTGGAAAATTCCACAGCAATCTTAGTGAGATTGATATTGTCGACTGCACGTGACGTTACATTATCTACTTCGATAATTTGCACCTGGAGACGTATTGTTCCTGCCTAACTGCCAGTGTTAACGAAACCTTTTGGAGATTATTGCTTCGATATTTCTGATTTGACGATTTTGTTTACGATACTTTTGTCACCTCGAAGATGCATTCATGGTAGTTTGATTACACTGTATCCTTCAGATTAGTTTCTCATACGAAGATATTAATTACCGTTGTTTTGTAAATATGTCTTTGAAATTGCCGAGACTTATTTCGGAACCGATATATACGATTTTCTATTTGTCACTCCGAAAAATTTGTTTATACTATCTTATTTACATTTCGAATTTATTAGATCAATGCTGTTGTGTAGAAGTTTAGTTATTTGTTCATGGTAAAGTAGATTTCTTAGAGTTAACGTCACGTTTATGCTTTTGTACACCGATTTGTAGAGACGATTCGTTGTCAACTCAAAATTTTACTTTTGTTTGGTATTCATTACGGTTTTAGTATACGATTTACCCTAGTGTCAGACGTTAACATTGCTATTGCAATATTTATGTACCTCGCCATTCACTATCCCTCTTGTTTGTTAGTTTGTGTCATTATCTGTTACAGATAAGGCAGAAATGGGCTCTTCTGAGCTCAAAAGGCCGTTACAACCAGAGTTCGATAGTACTTTTGATTTTATACGACTCCTTTATATACCGTTTGATTACTTACTCGTTTTCGATACAACCGAATTGTAATTTCGGCATATGTTTGATAGTTATGTAACAATTATATCTCCGTTGTTTTCTGTGGAAGCCTGTTTTGATTTGGAGACTTTTCCTAACTACGTGTTGATCCTCTTTTTGCTAAAAATTGAGTTAAATTTAAACATTGATTTATTTATTGTATCACCCTCGATTGTGACAATTCTGGTTTATGTTCTACCCCTGTTAATTATTTTATTTCGTAAGCTTCTCGAGACCAGAACAAGGATCTCTTAGTCTTCCTTGTTTCCTCTCCTGTTTTTTATTCACTAAAGGCTAAGTGGCGCCTATAACGTTTACTATTACGATATTTCCTTTGTTTTGGCTAGTATACAAGGACCCCCATTATTCACCACCACCCACCTCCACCTTAAAACTTTGTTACGTTTGCTCAAAGTGAACGTAACAAATTTCATGCGTAAAAAATTCGGTAAGATAGCATTATTGGTGAGAGTTGCCGAAGATTTCATTTTTTCAAAAAGAGTGAAATAACCCTTGCTAGTGTGCTAAAAAACCACCTGTGCATTTTTCCGTAAATCGCGGAACTGTCTAGGAGCCTGATTTAGAGCAGTGCCGTTTGCATTTGGTGATTAACATTTACGCGAATAATCTTCCGTTTCGTCCCAAAGTGCCCACATCAGGACGCTCAATTGATATTAATTCGTCGTTAATAAAGAGACGCACTGTGCTATAAACGAAACTCTGTTATGCATTTATTCGCAGCAAAACGGGGCAAAATTAATATTCAGAACAGTGGGAAATTGACTGTGCATAAACAGGATTTTGATCTATGCTTTCGAGAACCTGATACAAGTTTGACTGTGTTTTAAGTTAATGAGAAGCTGATAGTACCAGGGCGGTTCCAAAGGTTCATCTGTACCGTCCCGATGCGATCTGTTTTCCATATTTTTAAGTCAAAGCTGCCTTTCCGCAAGAGGATAATATTAATGGTAACCTCAAGAAAACCCGAGTCTCATTAATAACACTGTAAGATAGTTTAAATTGTTTTGTGTATAAGGTATGGATCGATTATTTTTAGAAATTTGTATAAGAATTGTATTTAACGTAATCATAATATTCCTAAAGGAACCGACTTATGAAAATAAATTGCATGAGTCAGATTTGTATCGCATTTATTGATAATAATCGGATCAAAACAGAGGAATTTGGTTATTTTTTTATTACTTGCGAATTTGCATTCAATTTCAATTCAGTCCTTTCGTTGGATTGAATATTTTGTGTAGCATTAAGGGGTGTGTAGATATTTTGAATAGATCAATGTGCCAAGAATTTATTTAGTATAAAAATTAAAGTTTAGATAAGGATCAAATGTAGCATTGGTACGTCACTTTGTACTTTTTTAGGTGCCAAAATAATATTCTAAAACAAGGAAGATGTAATAGAAATAGAATTGGATCGACGTTATTTTTCTTAATATTATCATGCGTATTTATTCGAGTTTAATTAAACCAGAGCAACGGGTTTTGACTTTCAGATTTAAAGAGGAGGCCAGACTTCCGCAAGGTAAAGGGTATTTGATACAGAGCTCGCCGTGGGTAAAATTAATTGTTATAATAAAACTTTTACCAGTGCCGTAGAGGTTCAATTTTATTTAATCCAAATAAGGATCCTCAACCCTGCATTTTTTTCGGTATAAGGAATTGCAAATGTAACTAAGCGGAAGTAACTCATTCTTTCCATGAAATTTTGTTTGCATATAAGTAAATTAAATTATGTTGTATTAGTCTTAACATCGATGCGGAAGTGAGAAATAGTGAAATTCTTGCTCGTGTTATAAATATGTTATGATTTTACATGATTACAAAGAACAAGTAATAATTGACTGTTACTAATCAATCTACCTATATAAAAAATCGTGGCCAAATTGCCGAAGACCATATTAGGGAGTGTTCCAAAATAATGCAATAGGTTGCTTATTTGCCATTTTTCAGCACCTTGGCCACCAATCTTGTTCTTGTTGTCTCTTATTAACCCTCACACTTTAAACATTGTTGGTATAACTTTTGGTTCGTTAGATTGTCTATAATTTGTTCACATTTAGCTTGAATGAGGGCATTTAAACATGTTTTCCGATTTTTTTTCTGTAACGTCCCAAATCTCATCACTTTTGTCTGTGAAACACGCGTTCGCAAACTTAAAAAATATGGAATAAATCCGTCCCGTGCTAACCGTCACCTGCAAGAACGTTTTTTTCTTTATTAAAAAGCCTCTTAAAATGTATAAAACCCCAAATGACCCGGTAGTCATCGATGAATAGGAAATCAGGATCAACGTTTGCGACAAAGCTGTAAAAAATAAACCGATTGAAAGCACTACGGATGGTCAGGCGGTTACAATGTATAGGAAAAAATAAGAAACTGCTTTAGAAAGAGCGCATATATTATTATTTTTTTTTAAAGATTGGGGAGTGATCGGAAAACGGTCAATGTTGTTTTTATAATACAAAGTCTTTGTCCAGAAGGTCCCGCTCGCTACCTTTGTCCACTTCTTAAGGTTTGCGATCGGTTTCTTTTATTAGACCACGACGGTCCGTTCGATATATCGGGCGATTCCCTCTTTCATACCTTGTTTGTTCGTTCCACGTAAGGATAAAGCTTCAATTTCCTTTAGATTTTACGTTATACCTTTGATCTGATAATATGCAGACAATGTGGGCATTTAAGTTTGGAAACTGTATTCAAGTGTCCTTTCTGCTTTGAATGTTCGCGACCGTGTTTGCGTTGATGCAGATTTTACGCCGTTTGATCCTTACTTTAATATCAAATATATTGCCACGAGAATATTTTAATATAACAATATCGCTGTAACCGCGCCGGATTCTCGAGATGTGTGCAAAAAATTAATTTGCTCTTATTATGAAAAATTTAGATGGATTTCAGAGGGCGTAAGTAATTCGTGTTTTAGAAAGGATCAGGAATTAAGTAATACCCGCCCTACACTGTTCCTCTTCCTTTGCCAGTGAGGAATAAATCGCAAATTTGTTCATAATTTTTGGGAAATTAAATACATCCCAGTACTTTTTATTTGCAAGCTTTTGGACCACCATTAGAACGCTTTTATTAGGTACACACTTAATGTACAATGAATATTATATTTTAATCAACCCTTTTTGTGGGTTTCGCCACCATTGTATGAGTGGCGTTGTTACCTACAAATTGTACCTTCTATTATGCGTTATTATTTATTAGCAAACTGAAAATATGACTACTGTACATAAAAAGAAGTGTGGGGCGGTTTGTAGTTCCCCCAGTTACCCTTCAGCCGCTATGATTTTTTATTCACAATACGTTTATTTAATAAGCGTATAATGCGCTAAAGGTAGATGGACAAAACCTTACTTTCAAGTAGCTTGTTTTGCAGATGAACCGGCATAACAGGTGGACAAAACTAAAATGCTATTGCAAAGACGCACTCTAGTCTACTAGCTACTTTTGTGCTTCGATGCTAATTTGAAAGAACAAATTTTGGTTAAATGATAATTAATATTAGTGATATAATAGTAGTATAAATGACAAATAAGTCACGCGAGAAAAAAGTAAGCCCACGAGGCCGTCAGGCCGAGTGGGGTTATTTTCTCAAGTGACTTATTTGTAATTAACACACGTGCACCATACAAAACTTTATCCAACACCTCCTCAAGCTGGTTTAAAACGTGGAAATCTTAAAAACTGCGTGTTCCGCGAAAAGCTAGAGTGCATGGAATACAAAAGCAATAATTCGTTGCTATGGGGAATAATAAACAACAAAAAATTTAGTCAGAAAATTTTCTGAATAATGGCAGATTTGCAAGAACCCCTTTTTGTTCCTGAAGAAGTAATGAAACAGGCTGAGGCAGCATGTCTTAGTTTGCTGCCAAGAAAATCTAAAGACAATTACGACAAAGAGTTCCGCCAGTTTGAAGAATGGAGGGAACAGCAAGGTCTGAATGGAGTCAACGAATAGGTCATGCTGGCTTATTTCCACAATTACAGAAGAAAATTGGCACCTTCTTCGATGTGGACGAAATATTCCATGGTAAAAAGTACTTTGAAGGTATATAAGAATGTCGACATATCAAAATATGGAAAACTGATCAGCTATCTGAAGAATGAAGCAAGGACTCACAAACCTAAAAAGGCGAAGACTTTGGAAAGAGAACATGTAGAGAAGTTTTTGACACAGGCACCTGATAGTAAATACTTGATGATAAAGGTACCGATTCATAATTTCTTTATATATTACCTTTATGTTCATGTGTTTTGTATTTTTCTAGGTTGCATTGGTAATGGGGATATCAGGTGCCTGTCGTTGTGATGAAATCACCAAACTGACAGTTGATGATATTGAAGATAAGGGAGGATACTTATATGTCTCCATACCCGACTCGAAGACAAATGTGTCACGAAGTTTTACTATCATGACAGAAGGATTCTCTATAAACATTCTGGACCTGTACAGGAAATATGTTTCTTTGAGACCCAAGAACGTTCCACACCGCAGATTTTTCGTGAATTACCAGAAAGAGAAATGCACTATCCAGGCAGTTGGTATAAATACCATATCTAAGGTACCCCAGGCAGTTGCTTCCTTCTTGAACCTACCCGAAGCCCACTCATATACTGGACACAGCATGAGACGTGCGTCTGCAACTCTTCTGGCAAACGCAGGAGCCGATATAACAACACTTAAACGCCACGGTGGATGGAAATCGTCCACGGTGGCCGAAGGCTATATCCAAGATTCAGTCAACAACAAAATCGATATAGCCAAAAGGATTCAAGGAGGCGCCAAAAAAAAGTCGTTGATATTCCGTTAGCCCCGACTTCCTTCTCGAATGAAATGGATTGTGTTTCTGTTGAAAATTCTTCCGACATACTTCATGATTCCAACGCAACATCGAAGAAGAAAACGATTTCCTTTAATTTCAATATCAATGTGAATTTAAATTAGATTTTTGTGTTGATTTTGTCAGAATAATTAATAAAAGAATGTTCCTGTACTTTATCTTGCTAGTGAGTTATTTTACGTCCATAACTCAGTGGGTTATATTATACCTTACTCGTTTAATTTCGTCATGATAATGACTGGATAACATAGAGGTGTTGGATAAACAAATAAACGTCAAGCATTATTTTTTTCAAAGCTGCATATTGAACCTATACGGGCATGGTATGGCGATAAGTCGAACCAAGACGATTATTAATTATTTTCGTACTTTAGGGTCACAAAAATTGCAGAAAGCTGCATTTTTGATGTTGTTAGGGAATGTCTAACTAGTGTAAATTCAAGTTTGCAAACAATCAAGGTAAAAGCTTTGCTGGCCGAGTTATTTCAGTTTTTGGCCTTTATGTACTAAATGGGGCACTATTGAAATTAAGTTTTTGCGCGAACTAATTTCTGAAAAGGATAAGTTGATTGCTAACCAGGAGATTACTATCTCATCACTACAAAATCGAGTTCTTCTTTTAAACAAATTTCAAGTTCAGAATGTGAAATCCACTGATAGCACTGCTAAACTTTCGACCTCGAAATCATTGCCAACCAAGCAAGTAAACAAACAAACTAGCGATTTGTCTGTTAAAAATGATAAAGCCAGTGCAGCTAAGAATGTGTCAACTAAATCAAGTAATAAGGATAACGGCCCCGGGAGCTCATCTAAGGAAAACCAACCTAGTATCGACTGTGCTCCCGATTTATCTCCTGAAACGGCTCCTGTTTCTTATTCCAATGTGGTTAAAAGTGTCTCTGATGGTAATTCCAATAAAGATTGGAAATTAGTATCACGTAAAAAATCCAAATTTAATACTCCAATCATTGGCAATAGTGGGCAGGAGTTATCTTGCAATATTAAAGCTGCTGTACAGAGAGCTTATGTTCATGTTTATAAATTGGACCCATCTACTACTGTGCACGCGCTACACAGTTACCTGCATCCATTATTTAAGGATGTCTTATGCGAAAAGCTTGAATCCAAGCATCCGTCATATTACTCCTCCTTTAAAGTGACGGTACATCTCTCAAATCTTGAGAAAATAATGGACCCAGCTATTTGGCCGATTGGTACGTGTGTAAATCGGTTTTTTCTCCGGAGACAGAAACCCAACATAACCAGTTGATAGTCGATAAGCGTGTCACTCGACAATCGGACTACAACCTAACCGTCTTTCATATTAATATTCAATCATTAAAAAATAAAATTAATGAACTTGAAGCATTTATAACTGACAAAAATTTCGATTTAATATGTCTAAGTGAGCATTGGTTTATCGACAGCGAACTACTGGTATCTCTAAAACTTGGTGACTACTTAGTGACGTCCTTCCATTGCAGATCATCGTTGACTCATGGTGGAGTGGTTATTTTAAGTAAATCGTGTAGCTCTTATAAACCTTTAATATGTATTTATAGGTCTCCTAATGGAGAATTTGATACCTTTATGAGTCTACTTCAAAATATGCTCGACAAATTAGTTAATTTTAATATTGTTCTGTCAGGTGATTTTAATGTTCATTTTGGTAAAGATTACACATCACAACTGCTCTGCGATTTTCTGGAAGCAAACGGCTTTGTCCAGACAATCTTCACTAGTACTCGTGGAGAGAATTGCCTGGATAACATTTTCATTAATTTTTCATGCTTTAGTTATAGAAGTAAGACCATAAATACTGGTTTGTCTGACCATTTTGGTCAACTCATCGAACTTAAAGTTGAACGCATCAGCAGTGAAATACCCTGTGCCAAGCTATACCGTCTCTTATCGAGTACAGGTATGTACCTATTTTTTTGTAAATTACAAACGTGTAATTGGAAATCAATTATAAACTGTGACGCAGGCGACTGTAACGCAACATGGACTGATTTTATGAATATGATTTGTAACTTCTGCTATACATGTTTCCCTGTTGTAAAGATTACAAAAAAGGGGACCACGAACAAAGTCAATTGGTTTACTGACAAATTACGTAAACTCCGATCGAATTTACAACTGATCAGTGAACTACATTGTATGTATAAAACGCCAAATTTATACATTTAAAGAAATCGCTCTCTTTACATTACAAAAAAGAGATTCGACTTGCCAAAATAAAAGTCAACGATAATTTTATTAGAAACTCAGGGAATTCCAGCAGATCTATGTGGTTAATAATCAATTCGCATAAAAATTGTAATATTGAATCACATTCGTCTTTAACATGCGATGATTTTAACAGGTATTTTAGCAGTATCGTTGAGGAGATCTTGGGCAATTTGCCTAACACTGCCAGCGACCCCGTTAGCTCTTGTAATGTAAAGATTTCCGATAATTTGGTATTCGACTTTAAATTTGTTTCGCAAGTCGACACACGTGACGCTATCAAAAGTTTGAGGAATAGCAGTTCAAGAGACATTTTTGGTTTTAGCGCGGCCTTAATAAAACGTAACGTTAGTGTTTTCGTCGAACCTTTAACTAAATTAGCAAACATTATCAAAACAGGTATTTTTCCTGAAACCTTAAAAGTTGGTTTGGTTATTCCACTTCTTAAAAAAGGAATGGATGGAAAGAGTATTAGCAGTTACAGGCCAATCTCTATTTTGCCTGTTTTCAGCAAGGTCATAGAGAAACTTCTGTATAAACAAGTAATTGACTTTTTTGAATCTAATAAGCTGCTCTATCAGTATCAATACGGTTTCAGGAAAGGTAGATGTACTTCTGACGCAATTATTTCTTTCACCGCGAAGGCTTTACATTATTTCGAAAATAAGGAACACATGATAGCTGCTTTTGTTGATCTCACTAAGGCTTTTGATTGTGTATGCCATGATACTTTAGTCCGCAAGCTTAGTGAGGTGTATCACTTTAGTAAACGGAGTTTGTCATTAGTGTCTTCATTTTTGTCTAATAGGTATCAATGTGTCCTCTTTAACAACGCAGTATTTAACAAATTACACATCAAATACGGCGTACCGCAAGGCTCTATCCTTGGACCATTGCTCTTTTTAATTTATGTTAATGATCTACCATCCCATTTGCCGCCGCAGACGCAATGTATTTTGTACGCAGATGACGCTACACTAATATCGAGTAGTATGTGTTATGATTCGGCTTATGCCAACATTCAAGACGGCATCAAACTTATTTCTAGATGGTGCACTGATAATACTTTAAAACTAAATCCTGCTAAGACTACTATCTTGCCTTTATCTTTAAGAAAAGATAATATCGTCTCTAATGGTGCTCATTTCACATTTCTAGGTTGTGTGATTGACAGCAAATTAGACTTTAAATATCACTGGGATAATTTGTCCAAAAAATTGAACACGTCGATATTTTTACTTACTCGGTTGCGCAACTGCACAGCTTTAAATACCATTAAAGCAGCATATTTTGGTTTTGTGCATAGTTCTCTCTCATATGCCATCCTCGCTTGGGGACATAGTTCTTATTGGCAATGTTTGTTCAAACTACAACGTAGAGCTGTTCGGGTTCTGGCATCTTTAGGTTATAGAAGAGACGATTGCCGTCAAGCATTTATCGATCTCAGAATCTTAACACTTCCTTGTACTTATATTCTTGAAGCCCTATGCTATGCTAAATGAAATATATCCCTTTACACACAACAAGTTGACGTACATACTCATTACACAAGAAAAAAAAACAAGATCCGTACTGATCTATGCAGACTGTCAAAATCACAAGAAGGAGTACAGTACCAATCCAAACATTTATATAACTGCCTTCCCTTAGATATAAGGATTTTAGACTACCCCATATTTAAGAGACGCATAAAAAATTTTCTTCTATGTAGCGCATTTTATTCTTTTAACGAGTTTGTGGCTAGTGGTAGATTATATAATTAGCTTTTATTGCGATTTTACCGTTTTTACCTGTCTGTTTTTAGTTTGTTTGTTATATTGTTTGTTGTTTGTTATATACTATTATTTTTAATGTTTGTAATTTCCCGTTTCTTTTGACGAGTGTTAAGTGTAATTCACACCTTCTCACAATTAAATATTATTATTATTATTATTATTGGTAAAAAAACCATTCTATAATCTTTTTAAAGTTTTCCTGCAAATTGCAGCTCTATAGATCTCACAGATTCTGAGTTACGGCTCTTCGAAAAATTGTGTTTCTTCCAAAAGTGCAAATTTAAAATTTTTGGCACCTTTTTGGTTCTGGTTGCTGTTGCTTTTATGATATCGTCCATTATTAGTATAAACAGTATTGGGCTCAGTACGCCTCCTTGCCTTAAACCTTCGCTTATTTGAAGTGTTGTCGATTGTGTATTATATTTCCTCGCATAGCTTTTGTTATTTTCGTATAACCCCTTTATTCCTTCTATTAATCTTGCACTCACCTTCCTTTGTCTTATATTTTTCCCTATTACTCTTCGCGATACTCTATCGAATGCTTTTTCAAGGTCCAGAAAAGCGATGTAAATTTCCGAATTGTGCATTTTGCTTTTCTCTATCATTTGTTTGATGGTGAAGATCTGATCCTGGACGCTCCTTCCTTTCCTGAAGCCACTCTGAGTGTTTGCTAGCTGCTCTTCTATTTTAATTCTTAGTCGTGCCTCCATTATGCGTTCATACGTCTTTGATACCAAACTTAGTATTGTATTGCCCCCATAATTAGTGGAATCTGTACTGTCGCCCCTCTTGAATAATGGCATTATTATTCCCAACCTCCAGTCTTCTCATACTTTTCCTGTAGTCCATGCCTTGCTGAAGATTTTTGTTAGCATTTCTGTCCCTCGCCCCCCTAGGTTTTTCAGCAGCATCTCTGCATTTAATATCTTGTCGTGGCCAGCTGCTTTCCCTTTTTTCATATATTTT